TGTTAGCATTTAGCTGACCAGGATCAATGCTGTTAGCCTTTAGCTGATCAGGATCAATGCTGTTAGCCTTTAGCTGATCAGGATCAATGCTGTTAGCATTTAGCTGATCAGGATCAATATTGGTAAGATAGAGCAAACGAGGACTTTTAAAGTCTTTATGTCCCCGTTGACAGTAGGTGCTGGAGCTCACCCCAGAGCTCCGTCACGTTACAGCTCTGTGTTCTTTGATCGGGCCTCGGAGGCCATTTTGAATGTGTTGTTGTTTCTTTACAGGATTGTTTATTTATTTGTGTTGTTCTTCATACAGGATCAAAACCAGCTCCTGTAAAAAGTCCCCCAGCTTCTTCAGAAACACAAAAATCCAAAAAGACTCTAACTCAGTCTGAGTCATCATTGTACTGTCCAACAGACCCAAAGTCAGCGGGTTCTATCAGAACCATCATCTCTGGAGGGACACCAAACGAACCAGAACCTTCCTGAAACCGTTTGGAACCAGACAGGAGCAGGAAACTCACCTGTTGAACTCGTAGATGTCCTCGATGTTGCAGAACAAAGTGCTGACCTGGTCCGGTTTCAGAGGCAGAACTCCACAGTCGATGATGCAACCCAGATAATCCTGCAGAGACAAACAGGGTTCTGCTGAGAGGGTTCAGAGGTTCTCCTCACTCTGACAGAACATCTCAGTCAGTTAGAGACTGAAGAACGTCTCTGATTCTGCTGATTGAGTGCCATGTCAGAAACCGAATCTGGATCAAACTAATGTGTTCCTGCACTCGGACCAAACCGTGGAACCAACTGGACCCTGGCTGTCCAGTTAGGTTTGATTTATTTGTCATGTGCAAAATCAACCCAAGGTCAACAATGCAAGGAAATGCTTAGGACGAGAAGAATCATCTCGACTCGCCAAAATAACCAAACAAGCAAGAAATACCAAAGCCTGCAGCAAAAATACTAAATATACTAAAAAAAACTATTAAATACTAAAAAAAAACAAGGCGCCAAAGTTGAAAAAGAAATACATCTCCAGTGTGAGTCAGTTAGCAGTGAGGTTCTTTCAGCATCATGGTTCTGCTCTGTGAGTGGCCTGGAGGAGCATGTGGAAGAACCACACACAGCCACCACAGCCTGGCTCCTCCTCACGCTGCAGCGAAACGTCAAACCGGTCACAAGAGTGACCAGAAAACCACTGGAGCAGCCGGGTCAGGCCCAGCTTCCAGCAGAACCCAGCAAAAAACAAACAGTGAGAGAGAGATGAGTATAAGAGTGACGAATAACTAAAGGTGAACAAATTAAATAAATTTGATTATAAATTTAAGGTGACGTGATTAAAAGTCAAACTGTGTGTGTTTATGTAAAACACTCAGAGCCAGAGGAGGAGGAGCCAGGCTGTGGTGGCTGTGTATGGTTCTTCCACATGCTCCTCCAGACTCCTGTTTGATAAACGAATGGTGTTTTTCATGGATTCAACCCACAGATGTGGTTCAATTTAAAGTAAAAAAACAGAACAAAACTGTTTTCCTAACAGTATAAGACTTGTTGTTAACGTAACTGCAAACCAAACACGGTTCCTCAATTTTGTGCTAAGTTTAGTCAACCATATGTTGATAAAGCACACACACAAATACCAAGGCATTACATTATCACCCATCTCTTCATGAAGGCAGTGAAAAGTCTGCTGGGTAATAAAGAAACTAGAAATCCAGAATCTGCTGAATAACTTTTCTCCTAAAGGTTTAGAGTAAAAAACACAATTTAGAGATGGATCACTTCACTGACACGCTTCGTTTTTACTACGTTTGGTCCAACACTACCTGCGTGCATGTGTGTGTGCATGTGTGTGTGCATGTGTGTGTGAGTGGGATAATGAAGTCTTCATCACCTTTTAAAGGCAACAGGAAGCGTTCTCACACCGCAGGGCTCGGAGGGAGAGATGAGTGAAAAATGATGGTGATGAAGATGAGGATGAGGAGAAGACGACAGCAGGAATGAGGAAGAGAGAAACGCTTCATCCAGAAAGGTGTTGTTCAAAGAAAAGCAGAGATCCAGAAGAGAAGAACTAATCTTCCAGAACTGGACAGAGATCAGAGTCCATCACTGAGAAGGTTCTTTCACTTGTGGTTCTAAGCCTGGTTCTGAGTGTCTTCATCAGCTGATTGGTGGACCTCAGAGTTCTGGTCAATAGTTTTGATCCTATATAAACTTCTTCCATTTTTTTTCCCTCCATCCCACCTTCTCTGCCATTCTTTTTTCAGTTGTTGTTTGATGATGCTCCTCGCCTCTGATTTACTTGTCGGTGAAGTTAATTCTGAGAAATTAATTTTGAGTTGCCATCTTTTCTGCCATTTAATTTCCTTGTATTCCAGTATGTGCTGGTGCCAATAAAAATGCTACTGTTAAACCCACCCTTTGTCTTAATCTGAAGAATGTTTGGAGTGTTTCTAATAAAACGTCTGTCCTGCTGTTTGAATGATTGTGTTTGTTAATGTTGTTTTAATGGGTTTATGTTTTATTCATGTATTACCTGCTCCCCAGTCACTGCCAATCAGACATCTTATATTTAGTATTTTCTTACATTTATCTATAATTTTCTATATTTTCCATGATTTTCTCATCAAACTATAGTCCTAAAAACTTTATACATTGTGCTTGTTCAAAGTATTGGTTATATAACTTTAAATTAATTTCCTTTCTTTTTGTGTGTAAAGTATGGTGTTTATCCATAAATTTTGTTTTTTTGTACTGAGAACTTAAATCCCAGTTGAAATGCCCATTTCTCTATTGCTGGTGAAGATTCTCAGTCATCCAGGCCATGATGAATTCATTGAATTGTTTTTGAATTCATTTCTCCATTCTAACAATCACAGTTTGTATTTTCTTTACAGTAAATTCTGTGTTCCGACCTCTTTACCATATGACTCCATCATCTGCAAAACGTGAACGTCCCATTTCTTTTCTAATGTCTGTAAATATGTCATATATTATTAAAGAAAACAATAAAGGACTTACAACGCTTCCTTGTGGTGTCCCATTTTCTACTGCGTATTTTCTTTACAAGTATTGACCAATTCTGACTTGTATAGTTCTATTTGATAAAAAGTTTTTAACCCGGTTAAACATTTTTCCAGTAATAATCGTTTGATATAATTTAATTGGTAATCTTTCCACCATCATGTCATACATTTTATATTAAAAACTACAGCAACTGCAGTTTCTTTGTTGATTTGTGCTCTCCTGATTTCATGCTCTAAAATCAATGTTGGATCATTAGTATTCCTTTTCCAAAACCACTCTGATGTTTAGATACATAATATTTAAATAATATGTTATTAATCATTTATCCACTATTTTACATATATTTGATATTAAAGCAATCGGTCTATGATTATGTTGCAAGGTGTTTTTTGCATCACAAAACTACAAATGTAACAAATGTTTTTGCTAATATTTCAGATTTCTCTTCATCTTTTATTATAGTTTTGTTATCTCTTTTTAATGTTGGAAATCAATATTCTTTGTAACACTTTGTTATTTTAGTTATATTCCATTGTTTTCAATTTTTGTTTCTTTCCTTACTGTTTTACAGAATTTCCTCCAACATTCTCTTTTTGAGTTTGTAATGGTTCTCCTTACCATCGCTTGCTTTCTTTTATAATCATTTAAGTTCTGATAAACTGGAGTACCGTTAAGTACTTTAAACGCTTTATTTCTTAACTTTATTACTTCACTATGTTCACTTGTCCACCATTGTACTATTTTCTTGTCGTTCAGTCTTCCTCCTTTCTTCACTGTATTTTCTGCAGCGTCCAGAATTACCTTACAAACACATACACTTATATTATTTACATCCATTACATCTATTTTTCTAGATATTTTTACTCAAATATCTAAATTTATTCCAGTCTGCTTTATTAAAGTTCAACTTCTTATTTACTTTTATACTCTTATTTATTGTTAATCCTGTTCTGAGTTTATGGGATAATGATATGTTGTTGTGTTTTTAATCAACGTCCCACTCACAGACACCAGACAGTGAGTTTGACACATTTGTTAAATCAATGACGGACTCTGTTCCTGTTCTTAGATTCATTCTTGTTCCCCTCCCATCATTAATACTAATTTTTAGTTTCCATCAGTTCTTCAATATCTTGTCCAGTTTTATCGTCACCTTTCCCCCATAATGTGCTGTTAGCATTAAAGTCCCCATACCATATTACTCTCCCTTCCAGATATTCCATCACCTCCTCCATCACCTGTTTTTATAAGGGCTATAAAAATTAATTATCTTATATTTCTCTTCTTTTACACTAATTTTGACTACTAAATATTCCAGTTCTTTGCCTTTCCCTATTATCTGATGTTGCACTCCTTGCTTTATAAATATCACACAACCTCCTCCACTTCCTTCTTGTTGATCCATTTTTTAAATATGAAATAATAACAAATATAATGTTGGTTTTAACATCTCCTGTGTACAAATAGTCTCTGCGTTCTCTTCATGTCCATCAGTATAGCCTTTGAATTCCTGTCCGTTAAACTTCTTGTATTCCACTGTAAAATAACCATCTACTGTCACCTGGTGTTCCATCTGTTTCCAGCCTTTTATTAAGGTTTGCCCAAGACCCCTCGTTGAACCCCCAAAACTTTTCAGCTCCTCTCACGATTATTTTAATTTTCTCTGTTTAATGTTCGGCCTGGTCAGTGCAGTTTATGACATTTGCGATGAATGTTAGATTTTCCACCGGCATTGTTTCCTCTGTTTGCTGTTCACTTTGCTCTCTGTGATTTCTCTCTCTTGGCTTATTCTTTTACACATTTGCCTCTGCATAAGTTGTGTTTTTAGTCATTTTAATCTGTTGGACTTTGCTGTCCCCCCCCCCATATGAAACTGTTTGTTGCCCTCAACATTTACGTTTTTCCTTTACTCCTCTACATTCTTCCATCTTATGGTCGTCTCCAGACTTTGCACGCTGCTGCTGTGTCCATATCGTTGGCATTTGATTTGTACCAGTGAAGTGGTGGAGGGATGGAAGGCCTAACCTGGAAACTCAAGTAGCCTACAGTGTCACAAGAAGAGCTTCTAGTTACGTATCCTCCAGGAGCAATTTGAGATAAGTTGGCCTGTCCAAGGCCAGTGGGGAAGACAAATTCAGATAAACAACAATTGTTTGGGCCGCCAGACTCTGTTTTCCATGGGCCTTCATGTTCTGCTGGTTCACTCAATGGTGAATCCAAACAGCCAGATTAGTGGACATTCCACCCAGTTCGTGCTTGATTTGGCATTCTCCAAGATTAAATCCTTCATGCTGGCGAGTTCCAGAAGCCGCAAGTGGCCTGCGGGTCTTAGAAATCGTGTCCAGCTTGCAGTTGAGCTCGGTAAGCGACGCTCAAAGCACAAATTAATCCTTCACATGAGACTGGCAGCTTTACCATGGCCGTAACGGTTGTCGACGTCTTCCTAGTTTGTCAATATCCAAGGTATCCACTGATTCCGAACAGCAGAAACCCTGTTATCATAAATCCAATAACGTACACATCTTCTACGTCCTCCACGGACAGCACAGATAGGCACATCATCTTCCACTCACCCCAGGAATCAATGACATACCAGCTGCGTGGTTCCGTTCAGGGCATGAGGGCTCTCCAGCACCCTGTCGTTTGGTGGGAAAAAAATGATCAATTGCGTTGAGGGACCAGCTGACCAAATCCATAATAATATTTGATTTTGTGTAAAGAGAGGCTCTGAGGTTGACAGGACAAGAGAGCAAAAATACAGGAGGAAGGGAGGGAGGGTGAGCGTGACCGTCTTCGTTGAAGGCCACTCACAAATTTGCAATAATGGATCATTTTCCTCAATAAATAAATTACCAGATATAATATTTTTGTCTCATTTGTTTAACTGGGTGCTCATTATCTACTTTTGAGACTTGTGTGAAAATCTGATGATGATTTAGGTCATATTTATGCAGAAATATAGAAAATTATAAATGCTTCACAAACTTTCGAGCACCACTGTACATTTTTCATCCGTCCGCAGGTCTACTTCTCCATCTGTTTTCATGTTTCCTCTCAGCCTTCACCCCCTTCAGCAGACCCCGTGGTCTGACCCCCTCCTCCCTGTTTCCTGTTCCACTTGGCTGCAGGTCAGCACCCGCTCCATGAGTCCAGAAGAAAAAGTGATTTTATTTCTTAGGTTTACTCTTATGAGCGAGAGAGGAGGATTGACGTGTCTTCAGAGTGATGAAGAGTCGAACCAGGTGGGGCGATTGCAGTCCGCTGGCAGAGGAACCTCAGTCTGTGGGGGGGGCGTCGGTGACGAAGAGGAGCTGCTCACTCTTGTGTTTATGAACTCACACACACAAGCCTAATATGGTTGCTGGTTCAGTGTCTCAGTGGGTCTGACATCATGCAGTCTGAATGAAAACCAGACCTGGGTTAAAGCTCCGCAGCAGAGCACCGCAGGACAAGCATACACCGATCATCTGTCAGAGCTCCGCCCCCTTCGCCACTCAGGAATTTTGGGACTGCTGCGCCAGCTCCTCACACCAACCACTTACAGAAAAAACAGAGTGAAATCAGAAGCTTTTTCTCCGAGGTGTTGACTTTTCTGCCTTACGTCATCGAGTGGCCCACAGCTGGAAGAAACTAAAGCAGAAAATATGCAGAGAGTCATAAAAACCTGAAAACCCAAAGGCTTCTGCTCTTTGTGAAACTGATCAGAGGTTCTTGAGTCCTGGATGGATCTGGGCTGTGCACAGTTTGTTACTGGAGATTTTCCAACATTTCTGACAACAAATTGTTTTTATTCCCAAAATCTCTTCTTCTTCTTCTCCAGTTTCTCCTCCAAACTTCAGTCTTCATCCACCCAGCAGATCTCTCTGCTGGAGGACTGATGGTTTCCTCTCAGAGGTCAGAGGTCACACACCCAACCTCCCATTGACCTCCACTGTATCTGAACTTCCAAACAGGAAGTGAAGCCTCTTTTTGACTTGTCATATCTCCTCCATAAAACCCTGTAGAACCATCAAACAGAACCTGTGGTACCATCAGAATCTTCCGCAGTTCACAGATCAAGAAGTTCCTTGATCTGTTTTCTACTTTTCACACAGAAACTGTCTGAGGCTTACTTTTTACTCTGCAGTTCTACTTGATGTGCTGCCCCTCCCCTTTCTCCTCCTCATTGGTAATCTTCATGTGTTCATGGAGTCATCATATTAAATCTATATTATAACAAATATTTAAAACATTGAAAATGTTATTTGGACGAAAAAACTACAAAAACCGGGGGTTCACGCCTGGACTCTGACAAACACCTGGGCTCGAACTAACACCTGGACCTTGAACAATACGTGGGCTTTGCCAAACACCTGGATTCTGACCAACACCTTGACCTTGGCCAACACCTGGACTCTAACCAACACTTGGACTCTGACCAACACCTAGACCATAACCAACACTTGGACTCTGACCAACACCTGGACCATAACCAACACTTGGACCCTGACCAACACCTAGACTCTAACACCTGGACCCTAACCAACACCTGGACCCCGACCATCACTTTTACTCTGAACAACACCTGGGCCAACAAGGTCAGTCAGTGAATTTTGTCCAGAAATCTGTTTTTATAGAGAAGTTGAGTTCTAAAGTTTTATAGTTCTCTGCAGATGTTCGATACTTTCCTCAGGTAACAAAAAGCATGTACTTTTTTCCCATAATGCAACAGGAAAACAACTCCTATCACAGCTCAGCAGAGTAAAACTGTTTTTAACTTCTAATGGTGTAGATGGTGCGCAAAGAAATCAAGAGACATAACCCAAATGGATCCGAACGATTTTAAAAGCAAATTGGACTCTAAGTCCAGAAATGTGGAGAACATTTAGGCCCAAATTCAACAGCAGTTCATGTGTCTTTTATAGGTGAAATTTCAGATTCAATATTTTAGTTTAATCTATGAAACTTTACAAAGGGACACCTGTGCCTCAAACTGTGCTGCCAGCTGACCCATGCAGTGCTTTCCTGCGCTGCAGCATTTTAAAGGTAAAACGTTCTGATATGTACGTAAAGAAAAATTAAAACATGCGTTTACATCTGTGCTTCATCGGAACATTGATGGAGCAACAGGAGGAGGAGGCAGCCAGATGGGATTAACAGGCCTGAAGGTGCTCACACCTGGACTGTAAATCAGCCGACTACACCCCCACCACTCAGGTAAATATTCCAATCTCTGAACTCTTTGTTGTGATTGTTTGTCTTCACAGGCAGTAAATATGAAGCTGTCACCATGACAACCAGTTAACCACAAACCCTGGAGGGAGGCGGGGGGTTTCTGAAGCTGAAGATCTGGGAACAGTTCAGCATGTTCCCACAGGTCTGAGAGCAGTTACTTCCTTCTGATCAGCCTCCAGAAAGAATTTAATAAAATAACAAACACATTTGGAGATTCGTTTAATGATTTTACAGGATGAACTTTGTGAATTCTAAAATAATGAAGTGAACTTTATTTTAAAAAAAAGAAGAAGAAAAAAAAGGGAAACGTTTCCTGAACTAAACATTATTCCTGGAAATAACTTTTCAAAGTCACAAAGTAAAATAAACCATCAGACCATTGAAGCTCACATGCTGTCAGTTTTACCATTAGATGAACCTCCCCAATTCAGTTTTACCGTTACCTACACCTTACCTACTGTCAGATCACTGTTAGCTAAATCTTCTTGGTGTTAGTTTACCATTAATGGTAATGGTAAACTAACAGCTAATTAGCTGAATCTCACATGCTGTCAGTTTTACCGTTAGCTACACCTTACCCACTGTGA